AGCACTCAGAAGCCGCCGGAAGCATCGCCGACCAATGAACAAAAGTCGACTGAACTTCCTTTAGCTCCAACAGTTAAACCTGACAGTCATCCTGAAAACAAACAGCCCACGACAGTGGTACCAACTACCAGCAATAATATCACACCCGTACCTACCGGCGGCAAAACCGAAAAAACAGAACAGTCAACCAAAGATGGTACGACACATCCAGCGCCTGCTCCCACTACTCCAAAACCTGTCCAGTCATCAACTGCACCACCATCTGCTAAACCGACTCAATCTTCTGATGCTCCATTGCAAGCAAGAGGGTAAGTGCATAATTTCAATTCTCAATTTAACTTCACTCAGCATCAAAATGATCTGAACAGGTAAACTAACCAACAATATACAGTTATACAGATTATACTATCATTTTTTTTATATTAATTTACTGAAAGTAGATTATTGTCTATAAAGTAATCGAAAGTATCAGCCCAGCAAACACTGTGAATTTAATTGTAAAGATACAATGATAGCATTCTATCGTTACCTACAAAAAAAATGTTTACTCTTTACCAAAAGGTACAAAATAGATTAGTGGCATGGATACTCCTTCGAAGTATTGCCCTGCCCTGTTTAAGGAATTCTTGGTTCATATGACTGGTTTGATTTGATGCGGACTCTATACTCTGCTAATATTTTCTCTATATGTAAAAGAATCGTGTTAACTAAATGTCCTGCCTTAATTTGTCGTTTCCCTGTTTTCTAGGCCGCCTTACAGGATCCCCTAATACATCCATGAGAATTGGAGAGCAATTGAAAATTATGTTTTAACATAGATTTATCAGTAGCCTAATTTGGCTCCTCTGCTATCGAAGAACCCATTTTTTCTTATGGTTAAGGTTACTCACTCCCACTTGTATTGAAGATAATTAAATTGTTTAAATTTTTACAGTTTTGATGGCGCAAGTTTCATCGGGGGCATTATATTGACACTGGGTCTGCTAGCAATCGGCTTCATGGGCTTCAAGTACTACAAGAACCAAACTGAAAGGAATTACCATACACTGTAAAAATGTTGTGTCACCATATAACGTAAGGGCAGGTCTATGTTAGGCACCTAATTTTACTTTTAGTTAAATATTAATTTGAATCTTGTACCAGAGGGCGCGTCATTCAAAATAAGTGACAGGGTTTCAGTTTATATAAATCTCTGTATCACGAAAAATAATATAAAAATCTCTCTATCACAAAAATAATAATAATGGTGGTTGGCGAATCTCCTCTATACCTACTTTCGAATTTATGTGGATATAAATTATTTTAGTCTTGTAATTTAAATGTGAAAACCGTCTAGTTTGGCATTTATCTCGCGTAAGTTGCACGGTTTTTATACAGAAGTGTGAATTTGTTTGTTGTAGTACATTGAAATTGAAGGTAGCTATCTTACAGAAATTGTTACTTCAATGTTATATTGATATTACTATTATTATTATGCAGCTGTTTCAGATTTATTATCAGATATTTAAGAATACTTTGAGTGCAATTTAGCATTAGTGCTGTTCTTGTAAAACTGTGCCATGTTTCTCAGGTCTCAATTTGTAATGCAATTTTTTGGAAAACACTTCACTGTAACCAGCTTGAAACACTCAATTTTCAAAGATTTATTGTAGTTATAAGAATATTACTATTTGTAAGTGATACTATAGGGAAACACAATGTGATGATGGAAATAAGGGTCCTAAAGTAGTACCTGTATTGGTTTGGCACATTAAATTATTGTAGAAGCAGGTAGCTGAAGGTATTGCATTTGCTTAGTAATTGCTAAGTGCTCGCAGTACACGCTGATTTGTTTTTAATCTCAATAATTAAAATCTCAAAATGTAAATATTGTGCTTTGCTTCTTTGTGCCGAACCAATTCCATATAATTATATTTTATTTTATGATTTACCACACTCTTAAGAAAACTGGAGAAAGCTGATTCCATCCTAAAGTGCTCTTAAATCTCAACTATTATTACGAATAGGTATTGGAAAGGTTTATAAAACATAGATTTTTCTTGTCTCTTTTACTGCTACTTCTCATGTCACAGTCAATAGTTATAAAAATAAAGGTATATGTATACCAAAATGGTGTCATAATTCATATTTTTAAGGATCGTTGCGCACTTGTAGTTCAAGACCGGACACAAGTAGATCAAACAACAGATCAAAGTTTAGACCGATATAACCGCTATGGTATAGACCTGTCTACAGCTACTACTCGACTCCGATTATTTGTTTCTGGTCTGAGATGTGCGCCCATCGTAAAATCAGCGGCAGCGGCGTGATCAGCGTAAAATCGCGGTGGCATAATTTTTCAATGTTTAAAAACACGCTAGGACATTTGTTTATAAGTTTTTGTAATTAATTTCAACGTTTTTTACACTGCTCAGCGTTCAAGCTTTGCGCGTACATTGTGTCTTGTATTGGAATGGTACACACGTTTTTGTGGACTTGTACTTTTGTGTAGTGGGTATGTAGGTAGGAAAAACGTAGTATGCAACGTAACTCATTTTAATTGTACGGAAATATTTATTGAAATATAGTAAATAATTAATTTAAAAAAGCTGATGGAGCATTAAAGCAAATTGTCGCCACAGCGATTTTATGCCAGGCAAATTCATCGGCGGCGGTAGCGTGGAAAATGCCGATGTATTTCGTGGTGCACGTATCTAGTCTATAAACTATGCGGCAAATACTCTTAGCCTCCATAGTGCTCGAGCACCCTAAAACTCCTTAACAAAAAGATACACCTCTACTTATGTATGTTTCTATACTACTTATACTACGAATCAAAAGGACAGCTTTATTCACACTCCTTCCATACAAGGAACCTATAAATTGATTTACTTATCTTAGGACCAACATTACGATTCTGAGTACCGTATTTTAAATTTGCTAACAAAGTTTCGCCTTCCCTTTGGGTACATTTTTCGTACGCTGTGATTAAAGATTTCGGCGTACTGTACACTTTTGTGATCGCCAATGCTTTCTCAACGGACAATCCTTTTAACTGAACAAGAAGTTTTATGAACATTTCTGTAACAGTTAATGGTTTACTCTTGCTTGATGCTTTGTTGAAGTAATCAAATGTCATCAGCTTCTCGCCTTGAGATTCTTGGTTTCTTCCAAATAAATGTTTATCCTGAGAACAATACAATTTCTGATGAAACTTAATGAAAATAAATAATTACACTGATGTGTAAAGTACAATGCATAGGAGAGCTACGATTCTACAATTAAAGCGTAATATTGACCTTCCAGACCCGTAATTAACATGACTAGAGAATGCAATTTGCAAAGATTGTATCCGCATACATAATGAAAGTTTGAGTTATGAATAGGTAGAGTTCAGTGTGCCATATTACATATTAACTGCCTCTGTGGCCGAACGGTTACCATGCCGGACTGCCACGCAGAGGTCCCAGGTTCGATTCCCGGGCCGGGAGAAATATTTGTATGACCTATATTTGTTTCTCTCGTGAGTTTGGGTGTAATTTGTGGTTGCCTATATGTGTGTCCATGGCACCCGCGACACAGGGTTTCCCTAGTGCGGGGCCATGTTGAGTGTGTGTGTTATTATTATTATTATTATTATTATATTTCAATATCATCAAACCCACTAAAGTAGGGTACAATCAGGTTTAAGCTATGGGCTGTGGTTCTCGAGATTGATAAATGGTGCCGCCGGAATAAGTTTACTCTAGCATGAACAGTAAAACATCCTCATAACGTAAAAAGGCGTAACCGCTGAATCAAGACCATTTTAGTGCATTCTGATAGCTAAGGTGCTGTGGCCCTCTAGATTGAAGAAAGCCGCAGGAGTAAGCTTGCCGGCATGGACAGTGAAATAACTTTGAAACGGCGAACCAAGCTTTAAGCTTTTTCTTAGTCAACTTTCAAATACTGGTTATGGTCACATAGAAATGAAACACGCTAATTTACACTCTAAACTGGAGTAACCTATTTTTAAGCTTACTTCCTTGTCATCAAGCTTTAATCTCTAGAACCTTATCACCTACCATAGCTCTGATTGTTGGTTCTTTGTAGTTTGCTTTGTATAGAATTCTTTACATATTAGTAATATGTCAGCTCGACTGTTTCTTCTTGACTTCATTACATTTGTAATGAGTCATACTTAATTTGGACAAACACTATTTCGACTACACATTAATTCGACATAATACTACTTCGACAAAACATGTATTTGACAGGTCACTATTCTAACGAAACATGAAATCGACAAGGAACTGCTAAACTAGTTATTAATTATTTCTCAGACATTTATGTATACAAGATATTCCACTCAAGAATGAAGCGGTCCCTAAGTAAGTAGTCTCTCAGTACAGCAAATATTTATATTAAATATTTCATGTTCTGTCGAAGTAGTGCCCTGCCGAATACATGTGTTGTCGAAGTAGTTTTCTGTCGGTGTAGTGGCCTATTGAATGTGTGCTGTCGATGCAGTGTTCTGTCGGACTAGTGACCTGTCCAACTTGGTGTTTTGTCAAAGTGTTCCGCCAAACTAATGTGTAGTCGAAGTACTGTCGCGTCGAAATAGTATTTGTCGAAATTAAGTATAATTAAATCAACAAAATAGGGCAAAATTTCAATAATGAGTTACCTTATATTCAATTGTTAATCGTTTAGTCATCATCGCTAAAAATCTTGCAGAATTATTAAGTGAATCGGTCACATGTACTTTGAATTGATCTTGTACCCTCGTGTTGGCTAATGCCTGCATAAGTGATTGAAATGGTAACCCAACATGTTTGTTAGACCCATAATTTTCTACTAAATAAATTACATTGTACAATCCACATTTCCTCAATCTGAACTTTTGTTCATGGAACCTTCCATCTTTTATACTGGACCCAAAATCATCCATTCTTTTCCGTTCAACAATATATGGGAGGACCAATTCGTGATCTTTGTTGCTCTTGTGTCGAGCTATCCATGTAAAATCACCAATTTTCAAGCTCCTGTATTCATGTTTCAGATCTGGATATTTCTTGAACTGTGCAACTGTTGGGTCATCTTTCTTTGATACCCTGAAACATTATTATTATATATATAAATTATTATCTAAATAAAGCTACAAGTTCTTACTCACTGATAGAAATAGAACGGCTACTTCCCGATATGGTGGAAAAAAGATATTTATACCGTTGTACAGGGCTCATAAGGAATATGTTTATTTGTGAGGTGCAAGCACTGATTTCTTTTAAATTATAGAGAAAGACAATGTAAAATACTCTAAAACATATCAAAACTGACTATATACAATGGAATTTATTATTTTTAGAAAATTATACACACCCGCCAGTTTCATTCTTGTCTATCAATAATATTACATGAAAAGAGTCTGGTGGCATATCAATAAACACAGAATCTGAAGAACTGGTCTGAGACAACACTGGTGTCACTGTTTGAGATGAAGTGCTGCTCCCACCAGGTGTCAAGTTATCTTGATTTCTCATTGGATTCAAGTTGGAAGTTGGAGCACCATTGAATATCACATCATTTACAGTAGGTCTATCCTTATAATCTTCTAAAACTTGGATGGCAAGAGCAATACCGTCATCAGATAAAGAATAAGTAGTTTTCTTACTTCTTGTACATACTACCAGCCGTTTGCTGATTAGGGTTTTCATACTTGACCAAGCTGTGTAAAAAGAGTTGGGCTTTGGCCTCGAGAAGGATTCTTCACTGTGTGGTTGAGCTAGGCTGATAAGTTCCTGCTTTTCGAGAGCTGATTTTAAGGGGTTATTCCTCAATTGCTCAAGTAATGCTACCAGGATGGCATAACTGCCCGATCTGAACACAGGTTTGAAAATTCTAGGTTTCTTAGTTTGGCCTGAACTAGAATCACTCGGTGCACTGTCAGCGTTAAGACTATTAGATGTTGAGGAATCATTATTGTTAGCCATGTTCGTACTATCACTAGTGGAGGTTTGTGTTGAAGAAGACTTCATAGACACTGTACAAGTTTGAGATGATACTTTTGGTTCCGAACCATTTGTATTATTATAATAAGCTTCCAATCGTATATCAAGGAATCTGCACAATTTCTTATCAAAACCTTTAAGAATAGCACATTCAGCTCCTGACTTCAAAGGTAACGGATACTTTGACATCGAGTCCAGGGCTTCTTTCAACATTGGCTCTAGCTTGCTTTTCTTCTCTTTGGCTTCCTCGTGAAGTTCTTTGAGCCAATCTTCAAAAATAGGATTTGGCCGGCTCCTCTTTAAGGTTATCCGCTTACCTCCATTTCCGTTCGACATGGTACTAACTGTATTGTATATTATTTACTATACTTATCCATATATATTTCTATCTTATCCATCTACTGCTTACTTAATATTAACTGGTCTTGGATCTCGAGATATACATTACTGGCATTTTACAAATTCAAATAAATAGATTGATAGATCATTAAAATGCTGTGATCACAGAAAAAACAAAACAAACTAGCAGCGTTGCCAACACCCATTATTCGAAATCCTCAAAAATCAAGGTTAAAACCCCCAAATTTGGGGAGAGCAAAGTTCATATTCCCCATAATGTTTTATGTATTCCCCACAATGTTCTAATAATATTTATTAATTTTCAGTCCTAATATTATATTAATTATGACTATGAATCCACTGCTTAAAAATGTATCACAGAATTTAGAATCTCAAAATCATCATCTTCATTCATAATAACCCGCCTTTTTCTTTTTTTTTTGCAGAATGTAGGCTTTTTTGTTGCTCATGTACTTTCATTTGAAAGAGATAGCAAGATACGACTACACAATGACTACACATGAACTTCTTCGTTCCCATCTTTAATGATGCTAACAAAATTCAACATAAACTAATGTAAATTGCGAATTGCGTGTACCGTGGGTTAGTATTGTTTACCGAGTATTTAGCTAGAAAATATGATTTAATATAGTTGTGTGACGGTGAGTTTCAAGAAATTAAGCGAAAATGTCGCTCGAAATTCCCTTGATGACCACCGATGAGGCGAGTATTATAAATATATGGTACGTCATAGTTTGAGACTATCGAAAGTGCCACAAGATAATAAAATTTTTGCATGTTATATTTAGGTAATTGAGCTCGATCCCGAACAATTACCTTCCGGAGATGAGGTGCTTAGTATCCTCCAACAGGAGCGGTCCCAGCTCAATGTCTGGATCAATGTCGCCGTAAGTAGACTTAACCTCTACGTTGTTTTAGTTGATTATGATAATACTCTATTTCTTCTGAAACCTTAATTACATTCAACGATTCAAGGAACTGTTTTGTAAGTTGTTGTAATTTACATGTAACTTACTCGTATTGTGGTAATATTTCGCAGCTTGCGTATTATAAACAAAAGAAGATCGATGATTTCCTCAAAATACTGGAGGCGTCCCGAGTGGACGCCAATATCGACTACAGGGACTTCGAGAGAGACCAAATGCGAGCCCTTGACATGTTGGCAGCATATTATGTACAGGAGGCTAATAAAGAAAAGTCCAAGGATAAAAAGAAGGAACTTTTCACAAAAGCCACACTCCTGTATACTATGGCTGATAAGATCATCATGTACGATCAAGTAAGTACTTTCAATATACTAAAATATTATATATTAAATAAAACAGCCTTTCCTATGGGGATTTATTATTATAAATTGTTATCTACGCTGGGATAAAATAAGTACAAAATAAGTTTCTTTATTTTGTAAAAACAGTGCATTTCTACATAGAAAGAAAGAAAAATAGTTTATTTGCTCATTTTGGTTTACAAGTGACGAAAAGATGTTGAAAATAAAATAAACTAAGAAAAAACTCGAAATAAAACAAACACATTTAAAACATTACCGAACATGTGCTCCAGCCAGCTTCTTGTAACGAGACATTGGAAAAATGCTTTGTTATGCTGGTTTTCAGTGAACCCATATAAATGACAAAGGGATGCAGCTTCATCCAAGTAAAAAGTAGAAAAACATGAAATATAAAATAAACTTAAAAAAGCGCAATTCAAAAGTAGTAAATGTGAGTGTGCAAAATGTGTGGTTCAATAAAAACTAAATGGATTGGCCGTATATGTGGGTGTAATGTGTTCTCATGTATTTATGTTTGGAATCTCTCTGCCTACATACTACAATCGTATTATATCTGTATTTAGCTGTCATATTCGAGTTTTAAAACTGCCATTTTTTTATCACAATAGTGAACATGTCCAGCACCGTGACGTCACATTTTTGATGCAACGCGTCTCGTGCAATGGCCCAGGCAAGGTCCCAGCTGATTTTAAAACATTTTGAAAGTTCTGCACAGTAATTTTATCAAAGTAAAAATTGAGCGTGACAAGCGAAATAAACAGAAACAATAACAAAAAGCAGGTTCTTTCATACATATTATTAATTGTTGGAAAATGTTTGAATTATTAGTATTGAAACTATTTAAGTATTATATTGAATTGGAAATTTGTCTATTTTCAAGAAATTTTTATATTTTTTAATAATGAATTGTACTTTCTGATAACGAAGTATACTGTAACATTTGAATTGAATTGTACCAGCAATAAAGTATATTATTATTTATTATTGGAAAAAGGTGAGATAATTTTTTGGACAGTTCTATATGTGAGAGGAATTCGAAATTCCTGAATAACAATATAAAAAATTTAATTTGTGTAAAAACTGTAACTACAAAAACCCGCCATTTTGCGACTATTAAATTAAAAGGATTATAATTTTCGTGCAATGTAAATGATAAAATTAGCTGCTATATACTCAATCTTATATCGCTATCCTTGTTCTTCAAAATGTATAACCACCATTCATTATCAAATAAAAGAAACAATGACGCTGGTGCGGTATCTCACCGATTTGATGTTTGCAATTAAAAAAAACGACATTTCAATAAGCACCATTAGCATCAAAGCACCATCAGCATCATTAGTATTATATATGTATAAGCATCATCGGCTGCATAAGCATTATTAGCATCTTCATCATTATCATCATTTTAGTAGCATTGGAGCTCCCTGTGAAAGAGTTCTTCCAGAGAAGTACTGCCACCATACTTATTTCTTCCGCCTAGCAAGTATACTGTAATGAAAAGTCAGTTATATACTGCATTTTTTTAATGGCGTCACTAGAATTACTTTAAAATCCAACTTTGACTTCCTGGATGAGTAGTTTTGTCCTACAATGCAGAAAAAACCATTTCCGGAAGTTCAGAATTAAAAAAATTAATTAATTGAAATTTTTGGTTTTAAGAACTCTATATACTCCTTATAGCTATATTTATACATGTATCTATGAATGTGGAACACCTTTTTCCGACCATTGGTAATAACAAAAGTTAAATTAGATTGATTACAATGCATTGTCATAAACCAATTTTAATTATATACATAGTTAATTTGACGTTTGTTAAGGTAATCAATAGTCAACATAGGCAATGTTTTACATTCTGCATTGCATTGCATGAAAAATGCTATAATTATTTACTAAACAATGTTTACCCCAGACTGAGGTGTAAACAAGTACTTGTTTATAACACTTGTAATTTTTTTTATAGAACCATCTCCTTGGAAGAGCATACTTCTGCCTTCTTGAGGGCGATAAAATGGAACAAGCCGATGCCCAGTTCAATTTTGTACTCAATCAGTCCCCAAATAATGTACCTTCATTGCTGGGCAAAGCGTGTATTGCCTTCAACAGGAAAGATTATAGAGGAGCCCTAGCATTTTATAAGAAGGCATTGAGAACAAATCCAGATAGTCCTGCTGCATTACGTTTGGGAATGGGACATTGTTTTATGAAGTTGAATAATCAAGAGAAAGCTAGGTAATATTAATGATATTCTACCAATGATTCTCTTTATTGTTAGACAACTAAGAAAACCTTAATTATAAAATCGTTTTGATTTACCCAGTCCAGTTTACCACTTAAGTTAAATATATTTGCTTCATTGGAAAAAAGTGGGAACTTGGAATTGGTATTAGTAAACAACACCACTTACGTTAAAAATTAGCGGTTTTAATTTAGAATGTTACTTGACTCAAAATAAAATGTATGTATATGTAATTGTCAATGAGAATCATATAACCAACACACATAGAATTATTTGTTGTTCATACATAAATAGAGCACCTATTACTAACAATAGCTGTAATAATATTGTATACAATAATATATGCAGTTTATTCACTCTCCTTTACAATTACTCAGAATGTCTTGAGCAGTGTTGTTTGCTAAGCGACAATATGCTCTATTAAACTTACAGAATACAAGATATTTACTCAATGAAAAATGTAGTTAATAATGCAGATCTTATAGTATATTTTGTTTTATCAAGTAAAAAATCATTAATATTGTAGTAGCTTTGAGTAACTAATAAATTACGTAATTTTGTTTTAAATTGTCCATAAATTCTTTAACAGCATCTGGTAATTTATTAAATAATTCGGAAGCTAATACAAATATCGCTCTACTGTAAAATTCCATATTAGGACATTGTTGGGCCGTATTTCGATTTTATTCCTTGTATTTCTAGGCTATCTAGTTTTGACTAAATTACAGGCACATTGACAACTGGCAATTCCAGACATTTGGTTTTTCAATTTTGGGTCTAATATGAATTATCTTCTTTACTTACCCTTTGGAGAAGACTACGCCAAAAATTTTCTGAACATGCAGTTTTTTTGGGGAAGTAAATATTGTTTTTGATACAATGTACATTTGATCAAATGTACATTCGTATTCGTAAAGAGTTTTTGATTGAATCTTCTCTGAAATGCAAGTTTTCTCACTATTATATTATTTACCACCTAAAACTAATTTGTTATTCAGATGAGTTATGATTGATTTTATTTAAATTGAAATACTATCTTAAATAGACTAACTGCTCTGATTCTACTCTTAGGTACCTGGTGGATGATAGGTACTCTTTACTGAATAATTTTAGTTATTTCCTTGCATTTACTTGCAGTTTTATATTTTGTTGCATTTTTTAAAATAGGTTTCTTTTACTTATCCCTTATAAACATATCAGGGCTAGGGTATGTTGGTGTTCTTAACCATTACTTACTATATCAATATACCTACAAATTACCTATTAGTCCTCTGCCATTCAGTTTAGATCTATTTGACATATTTGTTTTATTACTATTATTTCTTTCTTTTTGTTGTATTGCAACTCAAATATGTATTTGTTTTAGGATGGCTTTTGAACGGGCTTTGCAACTAGACCCGCAATGCGTAGGAGCATTAGTTGGGCTATCAATCCTTAAATTGAACCTCCAAGAAAATGAATCAAATAAAATGGCTGTAATAATGCTTTCCAAAGCATATGCCATAGATCCAAAAAATCCTATGGTGTTGAATCATTTGGCAAACCATTTCTTCTTTAAAAAGGTATGTACTTTCTTGTCGTTTTTTACTATTTTCATAATACATATAACACAATCAGTGTATATTAATTTTCTATTACATAGAAGCAAATAATACATTTGTTGCCAGCACTTTTGCTGTTTATTTTTAGAAAACTGTACTTATACTTATTTGTAATGAATATCATGATGTTTCTTACTACCTGGATATTATAATTTTTGTGAAAATACACCACTAGTCTGTTATTATCAGTGATCACAATTGAGGGATCAGAATTAACCGATAGTATGAACGTTTTTTTAGTATGGACGTACCCATTTCGTCATCATTACGTATAAAATTTCCTTTTTTTACTGTTTATTTTCTAAACATTCCAAATTATATGTAGGTCGTCTCAGGTTTATATTTTAAATGGCTTAAGCATTGAAATACGTAAGTACCAATAGAAACACAATAGGGAATCGGACAATTTTTCAGAAAGTGTCTAGAATTAACTAAAATAGATAT